CTTGGGGTCCCCAGCACAAGAAAACATGTGAACCTGTTAGAGTGAGTCCAGAGGGCTACAAAGATAATTAGAGGGTTGGAGCACCTCTTCTACTGAAGAAAGGCTGAGAGCTGGGGATGTTCAGCCTGGAGAATGCTCCAAGACCTCACTGAGGCCTTTCAATACTCAGCAGGGTCCTATAAAAAGGATGGGTAAGGACTCTTTACTGAGGCAGGTAATTATAGGACAAGGGAGAATGGTCTTAAACTAGAAGGGGATAGATTCAGATTAGACATTAAGAGGAAATTCTTCACTGTAAGGTTAGTGAGGCACTGGAACAGGTTGCCAAGAGAAGCTGTGGATACCCCATCCCTGGAAGTGTTCAAGGTCAGGCTGGACAGGGCATTGGCGTACCTGACCTAGTGAGTGGCACCCCTGCCTGTGGCAGGGAGGTTGGAATTAGATGATCTTTCAGGTCCCTTCCAATTAGGGCCATTCTGTGATTCTACAAAGTGAGTGACTGAAAGAGTGGCATAGACAAAGTGTTCAGGACTGACCACAGCTCCCTTTCCCCTGTGCCATTTGGGGGGAGGTAGAAGAGGGTGGATGGGAGGAAGGCGTTTTTAGTTTATCCCTCTGCTGAGTGTTTTGCCTGTGACGATAATTGTTGAGTGATCTCCATCTCCTTATCTCAACCCTTGAGCCCTTTTCATACTTCTTCCCCCTTTCCCTTTGAGAAGGGAGAGTGAGAGCACGGTTATGGTGGAGCTCAGCTGCCCAGCTGCGTACAACCACACCAGTTCAGGCAGATGCCTCTGGCAATCACCTACGCAGGACGAGAGGGGGGCAGCGCAGCCCTGCTCAGTTTTGTTTTATCTAATTTGCATTACCACCAAGAGATGGGAGGGACACGCTCCAATAAAGATCACATTTTCTGGGCATTCCTGGAGGCTGTTATTTACAAAAGCTATTTGTGAGAGACTATAGCCTCTTGTTCTCTATCTGACGCTGACTTGACTTCTCGAGTCTGTGAAATAAGACACCAGTGTCAGGTCCAAGCTGTCTCCCCTCAAAGGGACACGGCTTCCCATTGTAACGTGGAAGAAACGTCAAATTTGAGAGACCTCTCTCTTCTGGCTCAACAGCCAGCCTGGAAAGCAACTTGTCTGCAGTGCATGGGATCACTGGCTGCAGGAGAGTCCCAAAGACCCGCAGGCATTCCAGTGTAACGTGGATGATGGTGTCAAGCCACAGCTTCTCTGCAGGGTGATTTCTGTTGAGTTTCCAAGGCCTGTGTCTCTGGAAGAAACCATTTGTCTGCCTTACACACAGGGCAATGCATTCTAAAGCCTTGTAGATCTGGAAATCTTCAAAATAGCTAGCCACCTGCAGCGGCAGAGAAGCCACAGACACCACAAACTCATAGTCTTCAGCAGAAGCCCTACCCAAGGCTTTTGTCTCCCTGTAATCCAAGATCTTTGGGAAACAAGACTCTGAGAAATAAGGGTAAGTGTTGCTGGGGTTAATGCTAAGGGCTGTTGACCGATTCAGAAGTCCCCCAAGCGCATCTGCCAGTTCTGAATTCAGTACCTTAACAACCTTCTCATCATAATAGTCACAATCCCGCTCGGGTACACCCTGCCTTAGCAGGAAGTACCGAAATCCATCTACCGTGTACTGTCCAATGCAAGCAGAAGGGTCGATCACGTTGCCCAGGCTTTTGGACATCTTCTGCCCATGGACAGTCCAATGGGAGTGCACAAGAATTTGCTCGGGGGGTGGCAGCCCCGCTGCCATCAGCAGCGCTGGCCAGTAGACAGCGTGGAACTTGAGGATGTCCTTGCCCACGATGTGGTGAGCAGCGGGCCACCACTCGCCATGCGTCTCAGGGTAGCCCACGACACTCAGGTAGTTCACCAAGGCATCTACCCACACATAAATGGTTTGTGTGGAGTCACCGGGGACAGGGATACCCCACTGCAACCGGCTTCTCTCACGAGAGACAGACAAGTCTGGCAAGTCGTCTCCCAGCCAGTGAAGCACGCGCTGGTAGAAAGGGTCGGGAAAAATGGCACGGGGATTGTCACGGAGCCACTTCTGCAATGGGTCCTGGAATGCAGAGAGCCTGAACATGTAGTTCTCCTCTTTGGTCCAGTGCACCTGAAAAAACAGGAGAGAAAAGAATTACAGTCCAAATACGCTGCAAATGGTTTTACAATTTGCACACAGCACTCTCAGCGTGGATTTTGTCACATGCTCCCTTTGTGTTTGGGTGTGCTCCCCACCACGTAAAGCCCTGGTATAGTTCTATGCCTAGAGGGACCTCCTCTCCAAAGACACCACCTCCCGAGGTTCCCCATAGCAACACCCAAGAACTGAGGCATCCGGGACTCTGCTTTGAAGGATCCTCATGCCCCCAGGGAAGGAATACCTTTCTACAAGCTGTGTTTGTGTGTCATCAGGCAAGAATAATGGAGACAAGAATATACTTTCTTAGAAATGTAGTTTTGCAATTATGGTAGAAAATCATAAAAAGACAAAATAATATTCCTTGTGAGTGCCCTTTCTTTTCTCTTAGGTGTTTCTACTCTTTTTCCTCCATTTAAGATTTAATGCATTTTAGTTGCCAACTTTAGCCTATAATTATGTTTAAGTACTGACAGCTCCTCTCTCACAGATTTAAATTATGTAACATAGCTGAAACAATGACAACTTTGTCGGTACCTAAGATACAAGTGAATTGTGTAAAGATACTCAAGAGATCTGTGGGAAGGTCAGGATTCTTAGTTTTTAAAGCTGACTAAGGCTCTAAAATAAGACAGCATCATGCAGGAGAGTTTGATTTTCTAGCACTGAATCCAACGATTTTTGGCTGAGCCAGAAAGTGCCTCACTCTCAATACAACCAATAAAGAACACATCACCCCTCAAGTTGAGAGACTAAGGAGTAATTACACTTAGTGTTATGTTGCACTTCAGTTTATCTAATTTCAGTCTGTAGCTGCTACTACCTTTGTTTACTTGATTAAAAGGTTACCCCAAAAGACATATTATTCCCTGCATAAATTATAAACAAGTTACACAAACTTTTGTGATTTTTTTTTTTAATTCTGAATTCTTTATAATTTTCCATAAGCTTCTTCAACTCTGGGGTATCAGCTCTCAGCACTGTGCACAGAGCTGATATTCCCTGTTGTCTTCCATCCAGCCCTGGTCTGAAGAGCACGGGGTAGTTCAGCCTCCTGCTTCCAGCAGTCACCTGTGCATCCTGAAAACCTCCACAGATGAAGGTCACAGAACCTTCCCGGGCAGCCTGTTCTACTGTCCTCATGGGGAAAAAGCTTCTCCTTAAACCCAGTCTGAACCTCTGGTTTCAGCCTATGACCATTCTCTCCCACTCCCCTGTCATGTACCACTGGAAGAACCTGGCTCCATCCCCTTGATGATCCCTTCATAGGTACAGGGAGCTTGTTCTCAGGGTGTGGAAGCCTGCTGCCTGTATTTTAGTTCTAAGAAATGATTTACTTGCCTGAAAATTCATTCTCCCTCCTGGCCCCAACTACGTTAGGTGCTTTAACAAGAGATTATTTCATAACATACCCCTTTCTGTGTGAACCAATGCTCACATGCCCCAATCTAGTACAAATATCAGAGAAGCATAACCTCCACTTAGCTCTGAAGCATGATTATCTGCCACAATTGTATTAAATCATGTTCCTGATATCTTATAGAAATCGTAGTGGCAGAGAGACTCTAAGTCAGGTCCCATACTCCTGGCTGCACCATTCCATTGTGAGACTAGACCACAGGCAGGTACTCTTATTGTGTTTTATTTAGGTCCAAACCCTGTGTAATGACACATGACTAATTAAAAATATCTAGAGGCCAAATGAAACTGCCTCACTAACTAGGTCATCTGAAAATCTGGGCAGCCAACAAACAGCTCAGTTATAAACAGCTTTATCCTTCCTCACATCTAACATCTTTCATCACCGCTTTAAAACATTGTTTCCAAGCCAATGGCCTGTGAAACTCAGTAGCGGGTGAATCCACATGCCTGCCACATGGCTGAAATTTAAAATTCACTTGGGGTTTAGAATCCCATTGGCATCTCTCCCTTATGCAGCCATACACAGCTATAAGACGCAGCAGAGAGACATTCTTTGAGGCATAGGCAAATTTCAACTGACAAAGCCCACAGGAAGCACTAAACGTCCTCAGATTTTCCTAGAACTAAGTACCAGCCAGTTACACAGTGCTTATGCAGATGTGCTATGGTTACCTCATGGCCAGTCTCCGAAGACACCTTGTACGTGCGCCCCTGGCTGTCCGTACGCTCGGCGAGCTGGCTCTCGGGCAGGAAGCACTCATCTGGAGTGCAGTACCAGCCCTCGTAAGACCCTTTGTAGAGCGCCCCACGCTCCTGCAGGGCACCCCAGAAGTGACACACGGCTCGCTGGTGGTGGGGCTCGCTGGTGCGGATGAAATCCGTGAAGGAGACCGCTGCCTGGGTCAAGGCCTGGCGGAACAGAGCCGAAACGCGGGCGCAGAGCTCCGGGGGCGACGTCCCTGCCGCAGCCGCGGCCCTGCTGGATCTTCAGCCCGTGCTCGTCGGTACCTGAAACGCCACAGGGGACACACACGGGGTAAGGGGGGGGGAGCCGCGGTGACCAGGCACCTCAGGAGAGCACCGTGAGGAACCCCGTGAGGAGCCGGCAGCGCCCAGCAGCGGGAGGTTAGGGCCGGGGCTCACCTGTGGAGAAGCGGCCGGGCCCGGCGCCGCGAAGCCCTCGCTGGCGGTGCAGCGCGTCGGCCAGCAGCGCGGAATAGAGGTGCCCGAGGTGCGGAGGCCCGTTGGCGTAGAAGATGGGCGTCGACAGCAGCAGGCGGCGGCCGGGCCCTGAGGCAGAGGCGGAGGAGGAAGAGGAGGAGCAGTGGCGGCGGAGCGGCGGCTGCGGGCCGCTGAGGCAGCAGCGGAGCGGCCGCAACATGGCGGCGGCGGCGCGGAGCGGGAGCGCGGGAAGGGGGGGGGCGGCGGCCGCGCATGCGCCGTGGGGGCGGCGGGGGTCGGGGCGGCTGCTCGGGGCCGGCTGGCGGTGAGGCGGCGGGCGCCATGTTGTGCTGCCGCCTGGCAGCCCTCGGGGCGCGGCGGCCGCTGCGGCCCCTCGGCCCCGCCGCAGGTGAGCGGGGGGGAGCTGAGGCGTGAGGGGGCTGCTCCGGGAAGGTGGGGGTGGGAGGGGAGAGCCGCGCAGGAGGCGTTGGGGAGATAAAGGGTTGCGGTAGGGGAAGCGGAGCGAGGTGGGCGCTGCGAGCCCTGTCAGAAAAAAAATGAAATAAAATAAATGTGGTGTTGGAGCTGCGAGCGGCGCCTGCGGGGCTGGCGTGCCCCAAGGGAGCTGCTGAGGTGCATTAGTTCCCAAGGACTGTTCCAGGAAGCCGTAGTGTAGCTGGGGTTGGTTTACTCGCATCCATTTGGATGCTCACAGCTTCCAAATCAGCTCTGTCTCGCTGATATATGAGAGGAAATGAAGCGGGTGTAGCGGTGTGTGTGTTATGAGCACTGAAGCAGGCAGAAGTTGCTTTCTGTGTCGGGGGGAACGTGTTCTGCAGAGAAGCCCGGGCACAGCTGGCGGTGTTAAAGCACTGCTCAGCCGTCGCTGTGACACTGGTAAGGGTCTAATTGAAATACTGAAGTTTAATCTGATACTTCAGCCTAAAATAAAACGGTATGTGGCTGTTCAAGTAGATGTGCTTGTTGCCTTGCTTGTAAGGTTTACTGGGCTGCATTTGAATTGGCAGCCCTTGCTGCTGCCCTTCGTTTGGGATGCCTTTGCTATCAGCAAAAGCCTCCTCCCGGTGGTACTGTTCCTCAGAAAACTGGTGGCAAATGGACTTTTTGTTGGTATAACTGTACCTACTGCTTGTCCTAACGTGGCTATGTTAGTGTCTCGGTGTTGGAGAAGTGGCTGCAGGGCAGAGCTCGGAGGGCTGTGATCAGCAGCGCTCAGTCTGGCTGGAGGCCCCCAGCGGGGCCGTACTGGGCCCAGTCCTGTTCAGTTCATCCATCAATGACCTGGACGGTGGAACTGAGCGCGCCCTCAGCTGGTTTGCAGATGACACAAAACTGGGAGGAGTGTCCGATACGGTGTGGGCTGTGCTGCCAGCCAGAGAGACCTGGGCAGGCTGAAGCCTTGGGCAGCGAGGAACTTCGTGGAGTTCAACAAAGGCAGGTGCTGAGTCCTGCACCAGAATAACCCCCTGCACCTGTACAGCTTGGGAGCTGACCTGCTGGAAAGCAGCCCTGCAGGGAAGGACCTGGCAGTCCTGGTGGACAGCACGTTAACCGTGAGCCAGCACTATGCCCTCGTGGCCATCGGTCTCCTGGGTGCATTCAGAAGAGTGCTGCGAGCAGGCTGAGGGAGGGGATCCTGCCCATCCATCCAGCCCTGGTGAGGCCTCACCTGGAGTCCTGTGTCTGGTTCTGGGCTCCCCAGTACCGGAGGACAGGGAGCTCCTGGAGCGAGTCCAGTGGAGGACTATGAAGATGATGAGGGGACTGGAGCATCTCTCATGTGAGGAGAGGCTGAGAGAGCTGGGCCTGTTTAGCTTGGAAAAGACAGAGGGGATCTTGTAAGCGTGTGCAAATACCCAAAGGGAGGGTGTCAAGAGGATGGGCCAGACTCTTTTCAGTGGAGCCCAGTTCCAAACTGCAGCAAGTTCTGGCTGAATATGCGAAAATGATTCTTTAGACCAGCACTTGCTCCTGACAGAAGAGCAGGGAGTAAGAAAAGCAAATGCGCAGTACGCACATATCTCTGCTGTACTCTCCCAGTGATATGTGTCTGGAAGGCTCCTTCAGCAGGAGGTAGTCCGTGGATCTTCACTGCAGATGGTTTTGCTATTAATTGGTTTGTAGTAGTTTTTGATCTTGCTTGTATTTGTGGTATCCACAGGTGCCTGGAGCAGTCTTGTAGCTGTTAGTTCTGGCATAGAATAAATCACTGCGGTGACATGATACTGTGCTTTTCAAACAAATAGCTTATTTACTAATTTTCAGAAATTACTTGGGCTCTAATTTTAAAACACAACTCTGTATTGACAATCCTTTTATGTTTTTGTCTAATAAATTGTATTCCTTAGGCAACTTGTTGCAGCGCTGGAATGTGCCCGTAGGACTACAGATGAGCAGACAAGTGGCTAGCTCTGATGTGCCTGGGGGCAAAGGCAGTAGTTCTGTTTTTGCCCTTATTATGGGCTTGTCAACGTTAGGAGCGGGTGTATATGTAAGTAGAAAGGTAGTTCATAGAAAAAGCTATGCTCTCCTATCAAGTGCTTGTTGTATTTCAGCTAACTTTCCTTAGCTTTTATCTTTCTAGCTATTTCTTCCTTTGGTCAACTTGATAGAAGGGAGCTAACTGAACTATCTGGAAATTAACTTACTTTTTTGGTGGTGGTGGTGGTGGTTTTTTGTTTTTATTAATTATAAAGGCACACATTTTTACTAACTACAGCTCTATCTGTTGTCTTGTATGTGACAGTAGCATATGGTTCGGTGAGAATTTGATGGTATATGCTGCTAATACCAAAACAAACCTTTATTTGACAGATTTCAATTCAGAACATTAGTGTTTAGCTTGTGTAAGTATACCAAATCAACACAGTGTTGAGAAGCACACGTTTATGTCTGACTCAAAGATTCAAAAGAGTAAACCTTTCCAGCCTAACCTAGAGAGTTCCCCGACAGCTGAAGAGTGAAAGCATTACCTAGAAGGGGACAGGCCCTAAGATTACATTATACAAATCTTTGTTAAGATTTTTTCCTCTTTGAAGATCATATTTATTTAAAAGTTATGAGTTGTGATTTTTCTCCTAATGAAATTTCCCCATGCAGAAGACTTCTGAGAAATAAATAGAATTTCAAAACAGTGCATGGAGGAAAAGTATGTTTTCCTATTAAATATTCCTTCATGTGCCCTTATTGTCCTTTTGTACTTCTTCCATCTGCCAACTCATACTGAGTAGCATCAGCAGTCTTGCCTGAGCTGAAGACAGCAGCTATAGGAAAAACTGATTAAGATGCCAATTAAATTTCTTGATGGACTTGAAAGGAGAAGAAGCTTTGCTCTGTCATTCAGGAAGAGATTCACCTCTGAGTGTGAAAAGCTTCTTTGTGAAATAGAACAGCATTTTAGTGGTGTGAACATCTGTGGTTATTGTCTAGCTGGAAAGAAGGTTGGGGTAAAAATTCTGGAGAAGGGCCAGAAACCATGGGCAGCTGTGACCTGTCACTATATATATATATATATATATATATACACATTTAATTTAAACTCCACTCATCATCTGCTAAAAGCTAAAAAAGCAAAATCTTTGTTACTTGTAATAAGGAATTAGATAGTCTTCAGAGATGTGTGTTCCCAGCTCCCTCCCCTAGTCCACACTGGAAAATCAATGCTTCATCTGAGCCAGACCTTTTGTTTTGAACATGAAAGATGACTTAAATAATTAAGAGGTCTTTATCTTCTGAGTCCAAAACTGTAAGTATACGTACTTCTACCTGTAGCACCAATGTTTCTTTTTTTTAATTTTTTGTTTCATTTTTGACAGACAAAGTAACTGAAAACATACTCTCTTTCTCCCAAGATCTGTTTAATCAAGAGTTCTTCTTAATACTCAGCACTTTCCCTCTCTTTTCTCTCATTGCCTGTCTTCACCTACAGTTTTGCAGTGTCATCATCTAAGATACCCTTCTAGATCACTAATGTCTTCAGGTGTTCCTGGCAAAGCTGGCAGCAACCTACTGTTCTACTTAATTGTAGGAGGAACAGTCACAGGGGCAGGAGCTTATGTAAGATGCTTAAATAAATGTGTTTTTATTGGGTGAGCGGGTGGAGGGAGGGTACTTTAATGCCATACCAAGTTAGTTATTTACTTCAGTTAAGCCATCCTTGTGCTCCCTGGCCTCAAATAATTTCAAGGGACATTGACAAATAATTTTACAGATTTATTATTCTCAAATAATGTAGTTCTTAAGGGAAAAGTTGCCTTACAATAAACTTTTCTACATTTAATAATCCAAAACAGAAGTTTACAGGTGCGGGAAGCCGAATGATGCCTTGATGCTGTAACACGTACAAGGTGTTTTCTTGTCTGTCTCTAGGTGTACAAAACGTTAAGAGAAAACAAAGAGCGTTTCACCAGCCGTGTCACAACAATAACAGCACGATCACAAGAAAATGCATCATCTCCTGGTGGGTACTAGCTTGTTATTTCTGTGTTTAGATTTATTTTCCATAAGCTCTTAACTTGAGACTCCTGAAACAAATAGAACAGAGCCCTTCTCAGAACACAGATTAGCATAAATTGTGCCTTCACAGCATTGATGCTTCTTAGTGCATTCTGTTTTTTTTTTTTTGTGTGTGTTTTTTTTTTTTTTGTGTTTTTTTTTTTTTTTTTTTTTTTTGTGAATTCACTTGTCTTCTCAGCATGGAATGTGGTGCTAGCTTCCCCTGATGCATAGTTTCTATGTTACAGATGAAGTATCCTTACACACATCCCTACAGATAAAAGTAGTGTGTCTCTCGGGGTTTCTTTCTGCAGTTTACACCTTTCGTGATGAAAGGAGAAAAGGTCCTGCTTTGGGTTTTCACCCTTAACTGGTCTGGCAAAGACATTCCAAGGGAACAGTATGGTCTGCCAACACTAAAACCCTCAGTGCTGTGCCATGTCCCTGTTCCATGTATAGTAGGCTGGGGCTGCAAGGAGTACCATGCTTGGGTCATGTGTAAATGAAGGAATCTTGACAATTAGTGAAGCTCTTGATGCCTGGCAGACTGTGTGGCCCACAGGTTAGTTTCTGAAGGTCTTTTGTAGTGTATGAGATCTCAAGCTGCGCTGTCTAAGCTGTTGGGCCAAAGAACGGTGTATTTCATAGTAAGAGTGGCTTCAGGTCGTAAAAAAAAATAGCATGTTCTATGTCGCTTGGTTATGAAACCAACATATTATCCTGGAAACAGGACAGCAAAGTAATTGCTTTGGTCTGAAGAAGAGGATAAAACATGTTTATCAGGGTTGAGGCTGGAAAAGAGAGTGAGAGGTTAGGTGTTGAAGCAGAGGTCTGTAAGTCAATGTTTCTGGAGTCTCTGCCCCTTTATGGTGAAGAGTCTGTTAATAACGTGGTCTCCTTGAATCAGCTCTGATCTGCAACTTCCTAAAGTTATCCTTGTTAGATTGTGTTTTGTTGCATTAAGTCAGTGTTGACTTTTTTTTTCACATACAGGTGCTGCTTCTCGGGGCTCAGCAGGTGAGGTCTTAATGGTAATATTTGACTTATTCCTACATACAATTTAACTGCATGTTGTTTAGAAACAGCACTTGTGTGTGAGGGGAAAGGTATTCTGGTAGGAATTCAAAAGCTGGTCTCCTTTTGGAATGCAATTGAAAAATAATATACCTTAGGATATTATTACCTATTATTACCTATTATTAAACCATACCTGGTATGGTTTTGAGAATTTGTTTTCTTATAAACTGATTGTCCAGTGCAGAGTTTTGGTCTTGATTTATGTCCGTAAAGGTGCTGAGGAAGTGTAGCTAGATCAAACACTCAGCAGATTGTATTTCCCAAATAATTTTGACGTTGGTTCCTGATTTGAATGGCAACCCTGTCATGTAGAATTCTGAGGTCTTTTCTCCTGAATACTTTTTTTGGCTGTCTCTCTTGCTAACTCAACAGATTTACTATAAAACCTGACTGTTGGATTTCTAGTACAATATTTGGCCAAAGTAGAGTCTGAGCATGTTTTCGCTATCCTGATTATACTCTACAGAGAATGTCCTGATGCTATCTGAAACTTCTGAAATTGCATGTTCAATGCCAGAAACAAACTTTGGGGGTCTTGACTTTGCAGCCTCTTCACTGAGCTGTGCAAACGTAAGCAGCATGCTTAAATAGATCAGTTAGTAAAATGAAGCTCTTTGAGAGTCTGCTGGACAAGCATTTAACAGGTTGTCCAAATGTTAGTATTCAAACCTGCTATGTAGATTGTTCTTACTCCTCCCAAACTCTTAAACCAGAGAAAAGTAGATCTATAACAGATAAGCTAAATGATGTAAGCTGTGCTGCTGGCCTGTTCTAAAACTCTCAGTAGTCATTGAGATCAGCTGTGTAGATCTAGCTTAGAAAAAACTGTTTGATAAAATATGCCAGTTTGAGTTATGTGGGGAGCCTGCTTTTAGTGAAGCAGAGCAGCATGGTTCATGGGAACTATATGGGCTGGAAGGGAAGGGAGGAGAAAGTATTTGAAGGGCAGTCTGACAAAGGAAATTTGTATGCGAAAGATGTCCGGTGGTGTACTCTGTTCTTTGCTGCTGGGCAGTTTTTCATGTTGTATTTGTAGTAAAATGTCTAATATGTCACCTGCAGCTCCAGAAGCTCACCCTGAGGTCCCATCTCATGTTCCTTTCTTGCTAATCGGTGGAGGAACTGCTGCTTTTGCTGCTGCCCGATCCATTCGGGCTCGTGACCCTGGTGCCCGGGTAAGAGATGCCCTGTTCTAGAGCAGAGTTTGTGTGGATGGCTGAATACCATGCTTGCTTCGGAGCCCTTGTGTGTGTTGGCATTGCCTGCATCAGTTCAACTGATAAGTCTAATGACCAATTAAAGGTGCTGATTGTGTCTGAAGATCCTTCATTGCCCTACATGCGTCCGCCCCTTTCCAAAGAACTGTGGTTCTCAGATGATCCAAATGTGACGGAGACTCTGCGATTCAAACAGTGGAATGGCAAGGAGAGGAGGTATGTCACTTAGCAAAGACGAAGGAGAGTGTTTATGAAAGTGTTTATGATGATAAAGTGTTCTTGTGAGAGAGCTACTGGAGAGCTCTGAGGAACACAGCAGCGATGCTGTTTAAACAGATCACTGAGTAGACTTCATGTCTCCCTGCGATGAAGAGAGCCCTGGGTTGTGCATGGAAGTGTTCATTGCCACTAGAGTGACTGAAGAAGGAACAGATCGTTGCATGTTGTGGGCAGAACCTGTGTGATATTTTGCACTGGACCATCTGAGTTGCGGAGTCCAAGAGACTCCACAATAAGAGGCTGCAGGCATGTGGAGAGGGGCTTCTCAGAGATGCTGAGATGTTCCAGAGGTGGCAGTTACGTGCTGCTTAGTACGTTGTGTTAGCTTAGTGCTAAACATCACTTGAATCTTGCTGTGATTCCCTTAATCATATGCTGCTGGGAGAAATCCTGTGAAATAAGTTAGTGGTATAGGTGAGGGTATAGCTTCACAGTTCAGAGCAGAGCTCTAGGAACCTAGGATCTCACTGGATCCTTGTGACATTTATGATATAAACCCTTACTGAAGTAAATACATGAACTTAACAGTGTGAAGCTGCTAGTTTTTAAAAATAAATAAATTCTGGAGCTTGTTACAGGTGCACAGAGTTGTCTTCATATCATTGGTAATTTCCAGATAGCTGGTGTCAGAGAGAAACTGGAACTCATTTGATAATTGAGCTTTTTTCAGCATATATTTCCAGCCACCGTCATTCTATGTGCCTGCTCGTGATCTGCCTTTTGTAGAAAATGGTGGAGTAGCAGTTCTCTGTGGCAAGAAGGTGAGTGCATCACTAGCTGTTGTTCTATCATCATACAGCTCTTCCCAAGCAGAACCCATGGTCTAAGCTTAAAAGTAACAGCTGTAAACCCTTGTGGGGGGCTGGCTGAGGAGGAGCATATGAAAAATGTTGTGAAAAATTTATACAGTGAATCTGGGACTACCCTAATCTTAAGGACAGCATGTGTGAAGCTTGAAAGCAGGAAAAGCTATGAAAAATAGCAGTGATCTGAGGGAAGTTGAAGCAGGAAGGATGAGATTGGAGTATGTGCATGGGATGAGAATATATACAGCTTACAAACAAGGTGTGGCAAAATTGGAACTAGGCTATGTATCAACTAGAAGGAGAGGTAAAGAGAGTTGAGTGTCATCTGAGTTATGGATCATAACATGAGCATTGTACAGAGGCAGCAGAAAGGTGAAAAAATTCATGGTGAGGCTTCTACTATATTTGTCTCCTCAATTTTCTGTATATTGCTAAAATAAGACTTCAGTGATTTCAGTCTTCTTATTGCTGAATCAGTTCTAGAGTCAGATCCTGGGAAGATTGGCCCGATCTGTTATTGCTGCCAAAAGAAGCTCTTGAATTTCTCCTTCCAGTCTTCTCCCTTCCCTGCCTGCCCCGCCCTCCCCCTTCTGCCTCCCAGTAGAAAAATAGTAGCCACTTAAAGGTGGAAGAATGTTACAAGTTTTCTCATCAGTAGTCTGTGCAATTTTAACTCAAATGGATGGAATTACAGTGGGTGGAAGCCTGAGCTCTCCTGCTTGTTTAATTTTGCAGGTTGTGCATATGGATGTTAGAGGCAACACGGTGAGACTCAGTGATGGTTCCCAGATATCCTATGATAAATGTTTGATTGCCACTGGTAAGGGTTTTTTGTGTGTGTTTTGTTCTCATCTCCTCCTTACTCTGTGTTGTGTCAGGCTTTTTATTTCAGTGACATTTACTTGGCAAGGAAGGTTCCTGCCATGCGTATCAAACCTCTTCGCCGAGCAGTCACATGAAGGACAGTCAGACCAACAAATGTGCCATGGGGTTTTTCACTTGCCTTGCATGAGCCAGCTTCTCCGGGACGTTCAAAGTTTTACTCTGAAAATCGGTAGGAAAGGAGGAAAAGGTGACTTCCCCAGCAGCTGGGTAAAGGAACTCCTGTACAGCTTAACACTTTCAAATCCTGCCTGTGGCAGTAGCAAGGAGAACCAACTTTTACCTTGGCAGAACACTGCTCTAGCATCTACCCCTAGCAGTTCTGCAGCCCAATGTAGCGGGACTGACTGTCTCCAGTTAGTGGAACGAAGTGTATAGCATTGGATTTTTATTTATTTTTCTGCTGTGTTACTTGGGTCACCTGCTGCTTGCACAGGAAATCTTTCATGGTAAAAACCCGGAGCACAACAGTGAATAGAACATACTGTAACAGCTTGAAAATCACAGCCCAGACTGAAGTTAGCTCTGCATTGACTAGATCTAAACAGTGACAGGGCCAGCAGTCACTAGTCTCTCTTTCTATTTATACCCTCCCCTTCAGGTGGTACCCCAAGGAATCTGCCCGCCATTGAAAGAGCAGGAAAAGATGTCCAGCAAAGGCTGACACTCTTCCGAAAGGTAAGCTCCAGTCTCTGCTAGTCCTGTGGTGAGGTTGAAGAAATTAAAACCACTACCATGATTTTCAGCTTGTTCACTCTTCTGCTTTGGGTCTAGGACAGCCTTGCCATGGCAGCAGCTTCCCTCAGCTGATAAAACAGGAGTGTGTTTGCTGTGTATTCCTTTCTCTGGGTGGGTGAACAAGTTAAGAGTCTCAGACACCACCTTCACCCTTACCTCAGGCCTGAGAGCTGTGTTATGGTGTTGGTTTTAGTCTCTTTCCTGTATGGCTTTGTTGTACCTTCCAAGCATTTTTAAACGCATGAGCAGTATTAGATCTATGATTTTCATCTAAGACTGCAAGTCAGTTTGGACTGTAAGCATTGTGTGCCTTCAGGACAATGATCAGATGGTGTAAGTTAGGTTAGTGCTCCAGCCTGACACCCCTCCTGAATAAGCGTATGCCATATTTCTGCATCATATGGGTAAGAGGTCAGCCTTTAGTCTGAAACAGAACAGAGATTGCTCTCATATGTTGAATTTTTAGTGGAGTATGAAGTCGAGTGTTTGTGTTACATCTGGGATTGTCTTGGGTAGTTTTCTGATGAGCTTATAAACTAATGCATGTGTCTTCTTCATGGCATTTCTTCACCTTCATCCTATGCCTTGGGAGAAAGTGAATAAAAGACACAGAAGTTGGTTGGTGGACTTCTGTTTTCATAGTAGAGATTCTTTTCTTGACAAGCTCCACATTTCTTGAAAATGTGGGGTTTAGAACAGATATACAGGTTTCTCCTCAGTCTAGTTCAGGGAATGAATCAATAATCAGAATCACAGAATCGTCTAGGTTGGAAGAGACCTCCAAGATCGGAGTCCAACATCTGACCTAACACTAACAAGTCCTCCACTAAACCATATCGCTAAATTGAACATCTAAACAGCTTTTAAAGACCTCCAGGGATGGTGACTCCACCACTTCCCTGGGCAGCCCATTCCAATGCCTCACAACCCTTTCAGTAAAGAAGTTCTTCCTAACATCCAAACTAAACCTCCCCTGGCGCAACTTTAGCCCATTCCCCCTCGTCCTGTCACCAGGCACATGGGAGAATGACCAACCCCCACCTCGCTACAGCCTCCTTTAAGGTACCTATGAGCCCCATGGAATCTTGCTGCTCTGTGCTGGACTTGCACTGTGGTCTAGTTGTCAGGTTTGGTTTGATCAACTGTGGCACAGGAAAGTTGTGTTGTGATCTGTGGTGTGCTTACAGTACTGCGTGTACTTCAGATCATTTGTGTCTGGAAATTTCCTTCTAATTTTCTCTTGACAGTTGGGGAGAAAACTCAGGAATCTGAGGCTGTCTGGACAGGGAAAAGTTTGCACTAAGACTGGGAAGCCAGAGTTGTTTTTCTTTGTATGATAGAGGAACAAGGGAAATGTGCTTCTTCCATTTTCTAAGCTGAGGAGAGGGCTACTCTTATTTCAAAGGGAGAAACTGAAGAATTTACCCTGCTGCCTTTCCTATTTGAGGTATTTGAAATGGGAATACATCTTTCAGGTCGAGGACTTCAAAAGTCTGGAGAAGATTTCAAGACAAGTCAAATCCATCACGGTTATTGGTGGTGGCTTTCTTGGCAGTGAGCTGGCCTGTGCTCTGGGAAGAAGAGGTAAGTGTGCCTCTGCAGGCAGCTTGCTTTATCTGGCACCTTTACAGAAGTGACAGACACTGAGTGCAAGCAGCCTGACTTTTAAGCTTCCTTTTCATTCCCCAGCTGCTGAATTTTCACACGGACTTGTGATTTGTCTGAAATAACCTTGATGCACATGCCTTTGTT